TTCACACTAAAAAAAATCTTTAAACGCTACAAACACTACTCACACTTTACATTCATGTATTGACACGATTAGTTGTGATCTAAATAAATGTTTTATATAATCATATACTTTGATATATATATATTGAGGGAAAAGGTTTAGGGGTCACCTGGGAATAAAGTGCCTACAGACACCTTAGGGCTAAATCCATCATTGTCAAAATATTGAACTCATACCTTTCTCTGAAGATCAAATACAGCTCTCTTCCCCTTCCCATATCTTCAAACCCATACATGTATTTCTTTGCGTTACTACAAAGACATTATGGTTCTACGGATGTGCTATGGCTCGACAGGTTGTTAATATTGTACTAGATAATGTTGCTGTACAAGTCATGTGATGTTACATTGTATTGCTTCACTTGTATACATTATGAATCTGTTATCATAGATACAATGCTTTATTCCCAGTAAAATGCTATATAGAAGATAGGACCAGGCACACTGATTACAGTCAAAGGCAGCTTTATTGGAATCTCACAAGCGACATTCCAGGTTATTTCAAGCCTAATATTCACGGAGTGCATCGATAATTTATATCTAATACAGCAAACAATAAAATGCTATGTATAATGATTTTTATTTGCACTGTATGTATGGACCAGACTTTATGTACATCTATTTTTTTGTTGTGGTGTTTTGTTTTTTTGTGTGTTTTTTGGGGTGTTTTTCTTTTGATCTGTCCTTGCATTTGATCATAGTGGCTGCCCTCCTTATATATGCTATTGGTGTTGCTAAATTATAGATGGAATTGTATGTCTTTTCCCTGTTTATTCTACCAATTTTGCAAATATTCCTATAGTTCGGAGAAGGCAGCCTTTTGCACTCCAGATACTGTGGACTACATCTCCCATAATGCTCTAACATTCATACTGCTGGCAAAGCATCAGGGGAGATGTAGTCCAAAATATATAGAATCTCGAAGGTTGCCTAATCCTATTATAGTTTCAATGTGCTGTGCCCCATTAGTCATGCTATCCATGTCTGTACTCTGCATTATGTATACCATGTATGTTCACAGTGAGTTTTCTATTATCTGTTAAAGCTATACCTTGTAGCTAGTAAACTCAGTTACTTTTATATCTTAAACCAATGGTCTAGTTTTTTTTTTTATTCTGAAAATTGCAAAGGCTTGGTAAAGGGTATGCATCAAAAGGTGACCCTAGCCTACACTTTGGTCCAGAGACCAGAATCATAATGGCACCTTTTAGGCTACAAGGGTCAGTAACAAGTCATGCATTGTTATATAAACTTTAACTCTGTGAAATTTGAATCTAGAACAATGTGATACATTGCACAAAAATGAAGATTAGCATTTCAACGCTGCATTATCATTATCAAGAAAATGTAATTCATTGCCGTTCATTAGTAAGGAAAGAATAAATAATGTAAAAACCTTACCTTCAAATTCAATGATCCTAATCCTGCTACACTTGAACAGTAAGTATAAGCAGCTGATGGCTCTTCCCCGGAAGAGGGTCCATTGATCAGAACACTAGCATTCTGGTCTATAGGGATCTGGTCCTATCCCATCCCTATTGCAGTTCCACTCATCATCACATAGAATGAATAAAACTGCTATATAAACTTACAGCAAACATACCACATTTAATTTGTGTTCATACAAAGCCAAAGTCTGTCTTTCTCTGGGTCAGAAAAAGAACTGTGCATGCCACATGTAAAGATGGAACCAGTTTCAAGAAGAATGAAAAACTGTGTCAGTGTCATTGGGGGTGGACATATACAGCCACAACATTAAAACCACCTGCCTAATATCAAGTTGGTCCACTTTCTGCTGCCAAAACAGCTCTGACACATGGACTCCACAAATTCTGGCACCAAGACATTAAAGGACCACTCGTTTTCCTGGCTCTATAGGGTTCCCACCCTCTGGTCCCACTCCAGCGCTGGGCTGGGGACTCTCCTCCCTCTTGCGACGTCATCCGCCGAATGCACATGCGCGGCATCTCAATGCTTTCCTATGGACATTTGCGTATTCTCAATGAGACAGCCACTAGAGGCTGAATTAACCCTAATGTAAAACTGCTATATTTACAGCTGCAGGATTAACCCTAGATGGACCTGGCACCCAGACCACTTCATTGAGCTGAAGTGGTCTGGGTGCCTATAGTAGTCCTTTAACAGCAGATCCATTAAGTCCAGCAAGTTGTGAGATGGGGCCCCCATGGATAGGAATTGTTATTACAGCCCATCCCACAGTTGCTCAATCAAATTGAGATCTGTAAAATTTGGAGGCCAAGGCAATTTTATTTTTATTTTCCTCAAACCATTTCTGAACAATTTTTGCAGTGTGGCAGGGTTCACTATCCTGCTAAAAGAAGCCACTGCCATCAGGAAACACCATTGTCATGAATGGGTATACATGGTATGGTAGGTAGCATGTTACTAGGTAGGTGGGATGTTTCAAAGTAACTTCCACGTGAATGCCAGGACCAAAGTTTTCCCAACAGAACATTGTCCAGAGCATAAAATTGCCTTCACCAGCCTGACTTCATCCCATTGTGCATCCTGCTGCTATCTCTTCCCCTAGGTAAAACATGCACATGCACAGGACCATTCACCTGATCTAACGTGATTTACCAGACCAGACAAACTTCTTCTATTGCTCCATGGTCCAGTTCTGATGCTCATTAAAGGGGGTTTCAGGGGCGTGCAGGGTGATCATGGACACTAAAACCAGCCTGTCCAAACAGAGATGCACTGAATGTTCTGACACCTTTCTATCATGGCCAGCATTAAGATTTCAGCAATTTGGGCATCAGTACAAAGGTACAAACCACTACATACCGGGCACATTACCAAGATTTGCTGTTTTGGAGATGCTCTGATCCAGTCGTCAACCCATCATGTCAGAGTCACTGAGATCTTTTCACTTGCCCATTTTTCCTACTTCGAAACCTAACATTTGAGAAATGAAATACCGACTGTCACTTCCTCCCTGCAGTACGTGCGGATAATATTTTTAAAGGGGCCCGGTCACACTATTACACGGTTGCAGCACTGACCAGGCCCCTAAACATATAGATCCCATTGGTTGTCACCCCCTGATGGCGGCCCTGACTCTGTGCATACTTATCGTTGTAATAATGCAAAGTTGTTATGTTGCTTAAAGTTACTCTTGTTAACTGACCCTTATTACAAGCAGATCCCTTATTAGACCTTACTCTGTGTTATGGCAGTATATATTTAGCTAACCCTTGGGTGTTTTGCCAGTCCTTTAAATAATGTGCCATTTGCCATGCCCAGTTCTCTTGGTTCAAAGTGTGCCAAGGGATGCCCATTAGCCTTGGCATGGTTTGCTCCTAAATAATAAAGATCTTTACTATCTCAATACTTATCAATACATTTGAGCATTAGGGTTATATCTTTTAACATTAAATGTTTAACATGCATGCATTAAAGGAACACTCTAGGCACCAAAACCACTTCAACAGATGGATCCTGGATCCCACTGGTAAATGGTTTACTCATCATTTAGCAAAGAGGCTTATTCCCCCACAGCCTGGAGTCTGGCCTCCATTTTTTATAAATGGCAGAGGCAGAGTGTGGCTTCAACCTTGCATCATACCAATTCATAACAGGGATTGTGGCTGAGATTGGCAAAGAGCATCCAGCTAATGCTCTCAGTCTATCGGCGCTCACTAACTCTGGTATGGCATGATGTAGAGCAGGGCCCTCCAGGTGTTGTTGAACTACAACTCCCATGATTCTTTGAATAAAATAGATAGCCAGAGAATTATGGGAGTTGTAGTTCAGCAAGCATAGCTTCACCTCTGCCGCTTCATCACTGGAGGCAAAGCTGCTGGCTGCCAGGGACCAAGCATCCCTGCTAAACAGTGAGTAGACCATTTAGAAGTAATGCAGAGCTCAGTCCCCTTAGACCCCAACCGTCATAACCACTTCAATTCGCAGCAGTGTTTATTGTGTCTGTAGTCTCCTTTTTACTCTGTGTTACAAAATAAATCCCTTCATCCAGGACATACTTGGAAACCAGAGTAATCTGAATGTACCTTTCCAGGTTAAATACTATGTACGTCTGCTGGAATGACCGAAAACTCTGCAAGCCTGCCAATGAGGGCTGCCCAGAGCAACATGGAAGTGCTCTTACTTGGTCAAAAATTCCCCTTTATTTTCCCTTTTAGTTCTCTCATCTATTAAAGTAATAGTAGCCAGGGTAGCTAATGATAGGGTGAGAGTGCAAGCTGATTCCCTACCTTTCTTTTTTGGTGTCGCCCAGAAAAAGGAATATTTCACAAGATATAATCTTTATAAAATACTAATTTTAAGTGTGCTGGAATTTCACTGAAATTCCAACCTATTTAAGGGATATACTGAGACAAAGCAGGGACTATTTTGTCTCTATATACTAATATTTCCTACCCTGTCTTAATTTGTCTCAGACTATTTTGTCTCTATATACTGGTATTGCCTAGACACTGGACGGAGTGACAGCTGAAGGAAATTGTGTCTATCTACGGAGGATCCTGCGGTCTCCTCCATAGACCTCAATGCTGTACTGCTACGCATGCACTGAAACGCCAGGAGCTGAAGAGGACCCACTGAAAGAAGATGGCACCTGCGAGAGACAGCTTCAGGTAGGCAGGCAAGTGTAACTCAACTTTCCCTGCCTCCTCCAGTCCACCAGACCCCCAGCAGTGATTTCACTGTCGGGGATCTTTGTGAATTCTGAAAAGTCCCCAGATGATGACAGTGCCATTTTATTAAAGGATCTGTGGACTTTAAGGTATATGCTGCACATTGTTGAACTCTATGCTGGACATTCTTCTCTCTATGTTGGACATTCTTCTCTCTATGCTGAAAATTCTACTCTCTATGTTGGACATTCTTCTCTCCATGCTGGACATTCTTCTCTCCATGCTGGACATTCTTCTCTCTATGTTGGACATTCTTCTCTCCATGCTGGACATTCTTCTCTCTATGTTAGACATTCTTCTCTCCATGCTGGACATTCTTCTCTCTATGTTGGACATTCTTCTCTCTATGCTGGACATGCTTCTCTCCATGCTGGACATGCTTCTCTCCATGCTGGACATTCTTCTCTCTATGTTGGACATTCTTCTCTCTATGCTGGACATTCTTCTCTCTATGTTGGACATTCTTCTCTCTATGCTGGACATTCTTCTCTCTATGTTGGACATTCTTCTCTCCATGCTGGACATTCTTCTCTCTATGTTGGACATTCTTCTCTCCATGCTGGACATTCTTCTCTCTATGTTGGACATTCTTCTCTCTATGCTGGACATGCTTCTCTCCATGCTGGACATTCTTCTCTCTATGTTGGACATTCTTCTCTCCATGCTGGACATTCTTCTCTCTATGTTGGACATTTTTCTCTCTATGCTGGACATGCTTCTCTCCATGCTGGACATGCTTCTCTCCATGCTGGACATGCTTCTCTCCATGCTGGACATTCTTCTCTCTATGCTGGACATTCTTCTCTCTATGTTGGACATTCTTCTCTCCATGCTGGACATTCTTCTCTCTATGCTGGACATTCTTCTCTCTATGTTGTTGTTGGCTAGGGGTGGAACCAGGGTCTGTAGAGTGATCAGAGTACCCTAGAGCGATCAGAGTCTTCATCGTTTATCTTGCTCTCCAGGTCCAGGTCATTATTGGGTTAAAAAGTTTGGAAATGGTTTAACCCCTGAAGGTAACACAGGTACGCCTGTCCTCATAAAAACTGCTTTGAGCAGAAGTTGTTACGAGGTGGGAGTGTTACTTTAGTGCTCTTCAATTCAAACTCCTAAATGTTACAATTCATTTTTCTATTTACTACTGTTCAGGGTGTAGTGAAAATACCCTCTGCAAGATTTCATGTTTGTTAACCCATGTTGTTTTATGTTGTATAATTGTTTCTCTTGGTAGTTTATTGCTGAAACCAGTTTTGGTGTCTGGAGAACAATTTGCAGTAATTGCACCAATTAGCCACTGCTAAGTTGTTGACCTATTTTTTAGTACTTACCCATCTTTTATGGCCTACATATTGAAAGTCAGTAAGCACCTCTACAAATCTCATCATTTCAGCAATATTTCATTAGTTTATGTTTACTTTGTGGCAAATGCATTTACTAAATGTTTGTGAAAATTATCTATATAAAACATGAGAAAGAAAAAAAAAAGAATTATGGTTATGTATTTTATATGATCTTGTGTTTTTTTGCTGAGAGTCAGCACAGAAACGAAATTTAGATGTAAGGTGTATGGTGTTGTTTATATCATATATTTAATGTTATTATGTTATTTACTTACTTGATTGTATTTCAATACATTCAAATGTATTCAAAACATTTGCATATGTAAATTATTTTCCATTTATTCAAAAGCATTGGAATTAATTTGAATGAATTCCAACACAACTGCATTTGATTATTGTGATTTAAAAAAAAAATGTAAATATTTTGCGGTTGTTGGATAGTGTCTCATCACACAAATAGCATTAGGGAACTATTCACTAAACATCATGCTAACAGCTGATTCACAAAATTGTACATAAAATTATGAAGTTGTGACTAAGTTAGAGATTTTTTTTTCTATTGCTGCTATTTTTTTTCTAAATCATACAAGCCTTACTAAACTGGATTTTGGAAACTTTGCACATATCCACAAATACAAGCATTCAATATATTAGCTGTACATTGGATATACATTAAAGGATCACTATAGTGTCAATGCTTTCCTATGGACGCTCTGCATGATGGAGGCATTAAATGCCTCCAGCTTCGCAGAAGCGCCTCTAGTGGCTGTCCGGAAGACAGTCACTAGAGGCTGGCTTAACCCCAAATGTAAACATAGCAGTTAACTCTAGAGGGACCTGGCACCCAGACCAGTTAATTGAGCTGAAGTGGTCTGGGTGACTATAGTGTCCCTTTAAGCTGTAAACACTGAAAATGTCCTGTTGGGGTTTTATTGCAATAATATGTCTGCCCCTTAACCCCTTAAGGACACATGACGGACTTGTTCCGTCATGCTGGACTTTTACTCCTGAGGCTGAGGGCTTAACATGCGTCAAAGTCCACTATGAGGATGAAAATGGTCTGAAATGCTGCCTAGTGATTGGGTAATACACATATTGAAAAGGACACTCCAAAGTGGATTTACTGCCCCATTTTGCACATAAAAACGAATGCGGATAAGTTGTATGTGTGTGTGTTTTTCTCACTCCACACACACACACACACAAAATATTTATATATACACATACGTACATACACATAAAATTATCGTGAGAGAAATTTATTCATGTGTGATCATATACACAATCATTTAATACAGTTATGCATTATTGGGAACGGAACTACCAACTTTGCTCTTTGATGTCTCAATTCTCTCATTATGTTTGAAATAATGAAATGCCTCAAACTGTTACATTTATAGACCTCAGGTCAAGCATCTGCTGCCCTGTGATAGATCCTTATAAAACATAAAAATAATTACGTATTTCATCCACTAGGCCAACTTTTTGACCCTGACTAATTTCCTTTGGAAGCTTAGAGCATTGAGCGTCTTTATTGACATCGGGAGATAATTGTTTTCAAATAATCAGGTACTGTACTGAGACATGTAAGGATTGCATATTCATTTTAAAATTTAATTACCATAATATGGGGTTTCTCTGTCTTTCATATCAATCACAGAGACACTTTCTAGTTGATAAAGTTAAAATGGCAACAATAATGAGAATTCTACTTCATGAAGAAACATTTTTAATCATGGGTAGATTACAAACCCATTTATAGTTATGGCTATAGAAAATTCTATTATCTACCTTCTCCCGTGAAAGATATTAAGAAGTCTTTGCACAGAAGACATTATCAGGCAATATTGTATTTTCACAAAGTTCCAAGCTATATGACAAGGAACATTTAAACTGGAATAAACAGCCAAAGTCTTTATTATTCGACACCAGTAAATACTATTAATACTTGACGTGATTTAACCATCTTAGGTAATGAAAATGCTATAATTGTGCTGGAAAATATTGACTACGCTTACTAATATACAATAACGGATGATATGAGGATATTGACGTAGATGATTATAATATGTTTGTGCAGACAAAAAACTACAGTAGCTTTTACATAATTTAAGAAAAAAATAACGGGAGTTTTTTGCAACTTTGTTATTTTGGTCTAAAGTTTGAAGTTTTCAAGTCACACTCATTGTTTAGTTAATAGTGCTATTCATGTACAAGAAACTGTAATTTATTTATTTTTTTAAAACCACACACAGGTGACATCATCAACTACAATACTTTTAAAATAATAGAATTTTGCATGTTTCTCAATTTTTCACAAAGCTTTGGTTCCTTTTTTTTTACTTAATGAGAAGATGCCTATGAACTTAGTTGACAACACTGATGCTGCTAATTGAAGGGCTTAGACCAGGGGTTCCCAATTAACAGTTAATTTTTCCGTGGAAACCTTTGACATAGTGGATCAACATCGTTGAACCCCACCCCCTGAAAAATAAAATTATAATTGCGCTACTTTTTTTTTTTTTTTTAATGTCAAGGTGTGTATATCTGTGCTTGTATGTGCCAGTTGTATATCTGACACAGATACACACACAGTGTCAAGGTGTGTGTATCTGTGTGTCAAAGTGTGTGTATCTGTGTTTGTGTCTGTGTATCAGGTTGTTTGTGTGTGTGTCTGTGTTTGTATGTGCCAGTGTGTATGAATCTGACACACAGATACACACACTGGCAGATAGTGGCACACAGATACACACACTGACAGACACACAAACACCTTGACACACAGTGTGTATCTGTGTGTGTGTGAGTGTGTGTGTGTATGTATCTATCTATCTATCTATATGTGTGTCAAGGTATGTGTATCTGTGTGTCAAGGTGTGTGTATTTGTGTTTGTATGTGCCAGTGTGTATGAATCTGACACACAGATACACACACTGGCAGATAGTGGCACACAGATAAACACACTGACACAGATACACGCACCTTGACATACATTGTGTATATGTGTGTGTTTGTGTGTGTGTATGTATGTATCCCTCTATCTATCTATATGTGTGTCAAGGTGTGTGTATCTGTGTGTCAAGGTGTGTGTATTTGTGTTTGTATGTGCCAGTGTGTATGAATCTGACACACAGATACACACACTGGCAGATAGTGGCACACAGATAAACACACTGACACAGATACACACCTTGACACACAGTGTGTATCTGTGTGTGTATGTATGTATGTATGTATCTATCTGTGTGTCAAGGTGCGTGTTTCAAGGTGTGTGTATCTGTGTCTGTATGTGTCTGTGTATCAAGGTGTGTGTATCTGTGTATGACACACAGATACACACACTGGCAGATAGTGGCACACAGATAGACACACCTTGACACACAGTGTGTATCTGTGTGTAGGTGTGTGTGTGTGTGTATGTGTGTGTGTATGTATATGTGTGTCAAGGTGTGTGTATCTGTGTTTGTATGTGCCGGTGTGTGTCGAGGTGTGTATATCTGTGTTTGTATGCACCTGTGTGTGTGTATCTCTGTGTCAGTGTATATATGTATCTGACACACAGATATACACACACTGGCACACAAATACACACACACTCAGATACACACAGTGACATACACACACTTGCACAAACATATAAACACTGACACAGGCACATACAAATACACTGATACAAACTGGCACAAACACACACACTGACACACACACTCTTTGACAGACACACATGCACTCTCACTGACATACACTCTCACTGACAAACACGCACACTCTTTGACATACACTCTCACTGACAAACACACACACTCTTTGACAGACACACATAGTCTCACTGACAAACACACACTCTTTGACAGACACACATACAAACACATATACACTCTCATTGACAAGAACAGATACATTCTCACTGACACACACATACACTCACACACTCACTGACAAGCACACATTCAATCTCACTGACAAACACACAAACACATACAAACTCCCTAAATACAATTTTTTTTTTTTTTACATTTTACTCCACCCAGCCCCCTACCTTTAGGAGTGCTGGCATGGAGTCCCTGGGGTCCAGTGGGGCTGCTGGCTTGAAGTCCATGTGGTCCAGTGGGGCTGGCTGCAGCTTGGCGGGTGGTCAGGAGGTCTGGCAGACAGGTAAGCGGTGGAGGCGGGCGGGCGAGGGAGCAGTGATCTCCCTGCTCAGCTCCCTCGCGCGCCTCTTAGTGATGCCGGAGCCGGAGTGACGTCATATTCTGGCCCTGGCATCACTGCTGTGCGCGCGAGGGAGCTGAGCAGGGAGATCACTGCTCCCTTGCCGCCCGCACACCAGCCGCCATTTTTTTTTCACATTTCTGCGGAACACCAATTGGGAAACGCTGTCTTAGACAATAGATTTGTGCATTCATTTTGTTCCAAATCAAATTTTGTCCTAATTTTGCAGACATTTTGGAATTCAGAAACTTCCAAATTCAGCAGAATCTGAAACACAACAAACCCCACATTTTTGGAACAAATTGATCCGAAAATATTAAGTTCCATTCATTTTTATAAAGGATTGCAAATTAGGGACTTATGTTAAGCAATTGAAACAGCAAAATAAAAATA